ATGTGTGTGTGTGTGTGTGTGTGTATATGTGTGTGTGTGTATGCTGTTAATTGTGGCTCCAAAGAAATACAAATCAGTAGGTTGGAGCTTTACAAAAAAAACAAAAACCTACAATTCTCAACATAATTTACTAATACTATCTATAATTCATCATAGATGATATTATCATAAGTTTATCATTTCCTTTCCTAACTATCCAGAGTAAATCAAAACGAGTAGCATTCTTTGAAGGAATGCATATCATTTGCCAAATTGCATGCCAATATTTCAAACATCTTGTACAAGCTGTTAGCGTGCATACTATACAATAGAGATAAGTCTCGGTTAGTACCACACCCAACTTTAGCTCAGTAGCTGTAATGTTGACTGAGTCATTGCTAAAATTATTTAGTTGTGGCAGCCATTTTGAATTGAATTGACTCCAAAAGTTAATAAATTGAACAAACTCTGGAACTAGTTTGAGGCAATCCTGGCCAAAGTGGATCAATACATTGCAACTCTAATGATTTGTTTTTGAGTTTCACTAAAGTGCATTAGATGGTTCATAGGATATTTTGTTAAGAGAAACAGACAAATGAGCACACACACATAGACACACACGATCGCTCGTCTTTCATGGTAGCAAGAGATAAATGTTTGACAAGAAATATACACATATGTGTGTATCTATGGTGCCAAAATAATTGCAAACCAAGACAGCAGCCTAACATCACAACCCTTCAAGCTGGTGAAGCTTTGAAAGGAAGTGAAAAATGTGAAAAGTAAAACAGAACAGGGGGTAGAGAGGCCTCCCTAATGTAATATCGACCAGCAAGAGCAAAGAATGGAGGCTGCCTGAGGCCCAAAGACAAGTCTAACAGTCATTCAGGTGCAAATAGGCTGACTCGTCAATAAGACAAACAGCTCAATATTGGAGCTTCGCTCAGCCCGGAATCGACCAGCAGCTGAAGAACTGCTGAACAGCAATCTGTTCGGTAAACAAAAGAGTCACACAAAAGCAGCCATTATTTAAAAAAAGATCTGACTCTTTTGGTAGCTTTTGTTCATAATGTATTGTAGAACGGAGAAAAACGTTAAAATCTTTATCAGGCATACCCAGGAGTGGGAATGTTATCTACCGTATTGACAATGCTTATCTCCATTCAAGAAGACAAACAACTTCATTCAAAGTGGAGATGATCCAACAATGCTGCAAAAGCTAAAGCTAAAGTTTAAATAGCAAATAAAGATCAAAAGGTCGACACCCACCATCCTCACAGCGCAAGTCAGGCAGAGCTACATCTTGAAGAGGGATCTCCTTCAGGAAGGCCGGACGCTGGCAACGAGGGTTACCCGTCACAATCTTCCTGCTCCTCAGCCAATCGCCGAGCCAGGCCAGCCGACAGTCACAGTTAAAGGAGTTGGCCAAGAGGTTACTGGAAGAAAGCAGGCAAGCTTGTAAGAGCAATGAAACCTTGACAAGATGAAAGATGAATAGTTCTCGATTCCCTGCGTCTTACAGAGTGGAGAGAGTCTGCAGTGTGTCGAAGGCTCCCGGAGTGATTGTGGTCAGCTGGTTGTCGTACAGAGAGAGCAGACGGACGTTATGAAGGCCTGTGAAACTGTCGTTGTGGACACAGCTGATCTTGTTGTTCCGTAACATCCTAAAAAGGGAAGCAACACAACGCAAAGTAAAAATCTGAATTGTTTCCACGCATCTTTGTGATTTAAAACGTTTCTCACAGCATACGCAGCCCCTCGAGGCCTCGAAACATGCCGCTCCGCACCGAGTCGATTTGATTGGCTGTGAGGTGAAGCTCAATGACGGACGATGCACCTTCAAATGCCCCGTCCTCAATCTCTGTGAGCTTGTTGTTGCTGAGGTTACTGTAAAAAAAAAAAGACAAAAAGCACAAATAAAAACATGTTTTTTAGAAGATATCTAATTACCGTATTTTTCGCTATATAAGTCGCACCTTTTTGCATAAATTTGCATGTCCTGCGACTTATACACCAAAGCGACTAATATATGTTTTCCCCCATATTTATAACCCAATTTTTGGCTGAGATCTGATGATTTCATTCATTCTGACATAGAAATATTGAACACTACCATTTTCAGCCGCTAGAGGGCCCTTAAGTAATATGGCAAGCCAAGTGTCTCAATAATAGATAAATTAAAGAGACACTTGGCTTGCCATACCAAGCCACCTTCGTCTCGCTCCAGAACTCCTGGAGCAAACATCAAATCAGCTGCATTTCACCTGAGTGGTGCACCGAAATGCAGCTGATTTGACTGTTAAAGTGCATTTATTAAGGAAAAGTTCAACTGAGACACATCTTTGTTATAATGTGAAGAATACAAATAATTGTTTTTAGGTGGTTGTCTTGATAAATTTCGAAGAAATGCACAGCGAGTTCTCCCTCTGCGCACTCCAGCAGCTGCAAATCGACTTTTGAAATGCAGCTGATTTGACCGTTTAAGTGCATTTATTAAGGAAAAGTTCAACTGAGACACACCTTTGCTATAATTTCAAGCAAACAAATAATTGTTTTTAAGTGTTAATCTTGTTAAATTTTTGTTACAGTCCTCCCATGCAAACTCCCATGGCTGTTATTTGGCAGCCAATCGATTTATGGCACAACACCGGCCCACGTTTCCGGGTTGTCAGCGGTGATGCATAATAGATGCGACTTATACAGCAAAGCAACTTATTTATATTTTTTCCACTTTATTAGACATATTTGGACTGATGAGACTTATACAGTAAAAACTTTCACTCACATTTTCTTGAGTTGGGAAAGGGTCTTAAAGACTCCAGTTGCCTCCAGAGTTGTGAGCTCATTGTTGTTAAGGCGACTAAACAAAATAGAGAAAATAATTGTGAATGAAACAATTTCTAAACCAAAGAAAGTCTCTCGTTCCTGGATAAAGGATATTCTCTCAGATTATTTACAGTTCAGCTGTGGATGCAGGGATGTGCTCGGGGATCTTGGTGAGCTTCAGGTTGGAGCAGTCCACCACATTTGACTCGCAGCGACACTTGGGAGGACAAACTGGATCCGTGTTGCAGGCATTATTCAGACGGGTGTCCTCAGTACCTGAAGGAACACACACATAAACACACTTTTACACTTAAACTCCTAAACCACCATACGCGCCCTTCCTTGGCTTGACACTCTTGGTCTAAAAAAAGGCATCTTCATCCTCCCAAAGACATCCTGTAGCTCTTCCACTGCAGGATGGAGTCAGATCAACTTGTGAAGGTGAATAGCTCAGAGAAGATAAAGAGTGAGAGCAGTGGGCTGAAAAGAAAGTGGATTTGAGAGGCCAAATTCAGTGAGGCAGAGCACTCAAAAGAGCAGCCGGTGGAGAAAAGGCAGATAAAAGGTGTGCAGGAAACATGAGCAGACAGGTGGAGTCAGAGGGAAGCACAGGCTGGAAACAGGAAGGAGGGCAAACGAATACAGGAAAAACGAGACAGATGTGAGAGAACTGGAAGGTGAGGAGAGGTACAGAGAATTGATAAAGAGCAAAAATGAATCTGGGGAATATGGGATGTTTTTCCTGCACCTCCCTTGTCTATGAATAGACGTTACGTGCCAAAAAGTGTGCTGCCAGTTACATCATGGCTGCTCAATAATGGAACAGCACAGGGAGCTGCTCAGGACAATGCGTCTGCGTCCTCGCAGCTACGCGTCACATCTCAGTTTGTGTGTGTGCAAAATGTTTCTCTTAGAGGGTACAGCCCTCTTTTGTGTTAGTTTGAGTCTTGTTCTTTTACAGCAAACCGCTGAGGCTGAAGTTCGAAGTCGATGATGTCAGCAAGACGCAGTGGGGCACCCAAACCACAATTATGAACAGCGAAACCTCAAACGACCGGGACAAAATGATCTGGCATGATGAGCACCAAAAATCTAACCAGAAAAAGAAGCATCGCTCTAAACTTAAACTCTAATCCCTGATTTTATTCAAATATAATTAAACGGTGAGAAAAGTGAATTCCAACTGCGTTTACAGTGACTTTTTCTGAAGTAGTGTCACTTCAGAGTGGCTCTGTGGAGGTTACAGACAGACACGGTAATGCAGGTCATTAAGGAACTTTCATTTGTTTGGGCCAGACAACAAAAAAGGGCATTTCCTGCTACGCAGGAAGCAATGAAAGTACAAGGAAAGTGCTTTGATCTTCAGGATGTAGAGGAGCCGAGGGAGATTTCGTGAGCCTGAGTCATCGTCGTCACAAGCGCGCAGTGGCGACACTTTTACTGTCAGCACATTTGCACGAAAGTGCAGAAAAGGGAGAGCAGAAGGATGAGGTTTTCCCCTCTCCGAGACGCAAAATGACTCATCGCTGGAGCTGTAGGCGCTCTCATAATTCCCTGCAGCTCGGCTCATCATTATCAATGTGCCGTGGAGTTCCTGTGCTGCCAGTGACTGTGTGCATGAGTGTGTGAACCGTTGAGGCTTTTATTGTTATCATCCCGCAAGGGTGAAATTCTCATTAATCACACTTGGCTTTGATCTCTCTTCTGCTAACATGGTACTCCCATTTGTTGTCTAAGCCAGCACAGAGGTTTATCTCAGCTTAGCACACAAAGACGCATTAATTTTACACTCATAGTTGTACCGGTGCTGACAATGAGCGACGCAAGCGTGCACAGCTCCGGAAACACATACACACAGACTTTAACACACATCACTGCTCTTCCTAGTTATTTTTCTTGGAAGTGCTCTTGTTAAGAGGGCCGGAAACATCCCCTGATAGGAATCTGGGTCCTCCGGTGGGCTTTATTTTCTTTAGCTCTGCTGATAGAGAGGACACGCTTTCCTTCCCCTGCATCCTTCTCTCACTCTCTCCTCGTCTTTCTCTCTAGGTGACTGAGTGTCTAAGCCAAAGCAAAGAGAAACTTCCTTTTGGCGCTTTCTATTGAAATAGTTCGGCAAACAAAGCTGAGAAGAAACATATGCTCTAATGACTTTATTTAATTATAAATATTCACGCATATGCTAGGTTTAGTCCCTCCTGGAATCCATCAGCTATTCTTGTGTTTATAAGTACGTCAGTGAGGCATTGAGTTCAACTAATTTCACCAGTAAATGTCCAGTATTTATTTTATCGCAAACCATTTCCTCTAAACGATAAATAAAATGATATCATTTCATTTCAAACAAATATAAAATGTTTGCAGGAATTCCTCACAGCGGAGAAGACGATAACAAAATACATTTTTAGGCACTTTTCAGTTGTTTTACTTTCAGAAAAGTTCATATAGCTTATTGGCTTGTTCAAAACCTTCATGACTGACGTGTATAATTTCACTTAAACACAAACTATGATAAAGATTTTGGGAATTTTATGAAAACGAGCAGTCAGCCATGAAAACACTGATGTCCACTACATGGCTGCAGATAGACAACAAACAAAAATGTGACAGTGAAAGGTATGAACATTTACAAGCCACTCACCTGGGATGACGTACTGCTCTTTGGCTGTGACGGAGGAAACAAAGAGGGGCGGATGTCAGTCAGGTGTGCATAGCTGTGGCATTGCTATGCATCAGAACAGTCATATATAAAGCTTATATATGACAGCAAATGACAACATGTTGATTAAACAGAGAAGCCGGTGACTGTCTCTGTTCATGACAATATGGAGAAACAGTGATACAGAACAAAGCAGCAAATATTTGGCTGTTGCTAAGGAAGTGACATGAAGGAACAAAGGAAAAGAAAGACGCATGAAAAAAGGAAAGGAGAAAGAGGGAATTCCTTCCTCACAAGGTCTAACAAAACAAACAAGGGTAAAAAAAAAAGAAGTGTTAAACCTCAAAGGTGCAAAGTGCCAGACATGAACACCACAGTGAATGATGGTTGAGGTTAGGTGGGAGCTTGACATTTAAAGTGGTGGACAGAAACTCCAGCTACTTTTTACCAGCCTGATAGCTCACTGTAGTTCAAATGTGAAATAGGACTTATACTGTAGAAACATTGGAGGAAGAAAGAGCAAAAAGCCCCTCTCTTTTTAGCACTGTTTATTTCAAAACGATGTAATGATTAAGAAGCACCAGAACAGAACGTTATACAGCCCTCCACATGAAGTAATCGCTCACCGAATGCACAAAATGGTTGAGGAAACAAACCACTCAAAAGGAAAGTAAGAGTGGATAAAAACAGAGAGGTGGAAATAAAACAACAACGCCTGTTTAAGAAATGGGAAATCCCAGAGAGTGAGAGAGCGGGGAGGCATTTAGAGACACGCAGAGCCACCAGCCTACCAGAACAGCGGAACTTCTTGCTCTTGATTTGTCCGATGCGTTTGTTAGCGAGACGGCGAGGGCTCGCGCAGCGGGCGCCGCTGGTTTCAATCGGGTTGGAGCGCAGGTAGTCTGCCAGCCACTTCAGGTTACAGTCACAGATGAACGGGTTCTGGGCCAAGTGACTGCAGAGGTGGATTGGGAAGGAAATATAGAAAAGTAAATTAAAAAAGATATTTGATGAAAGTTGATTTTACTGGGACTTAATCATTAAAAACATTTTCAGTAGGGATGCACGATATTATTGGCTTGGTATCGGTATCGATATATATATATATATATATATATATATATATATATATAGCAAATCTTGTAGCTCTTGTAGCAAATAAGCCTAAATAAGAGGACTATGTTCTGACAAAGTATATTATAGTAAGTATATTCTACATTCTTATAAGCTAGCTGTTTTTTCACTACTTTTTCCTTTTGACTGTCGTTTTGGTTGCCATTTTATTTTAATTTGTAAAAAATACCAATTTAAATTAAATCTGTATGCCTCTTTTGTGACTGTCTATTGTTGCCGTTGTTATCCACTTTTGTCATCACTCTTTGTTAAAGGAATCAGGTCTCTCTTGTAAATGAGTCCCCAAGACTCAGTGGGATTAACCTGTATAAATAAAAGTTGAATGAATAAAAAATATTGGTATCGGTTATCAGCCAAATAGGTTTCAAACTATCGGCATATCGAATATAGGCCAAAAATCCAATATCGTGCATCCCTAATTTGCTGCTATCTTTGCGAACACATCTTTTAATTTAATAACTTACAACTCTTAGATTCTTGGAACTATATTTTTTGAGGAACATGACTCCTAGTTTGAGATATTTTGTCTCCTTTGCTGAAGCTGTTTGAGAGTCATAATGACTTTTGTCTTCAGCTTGTGAAATGTAGCTTCAGCTCTCCAGCTGAGATCACCTGCCAGTGTGAAATACTCCACTTTCTTGCCACAATGTGCGTTATTGATTAAAATGTGATCTGAATAAGGAGCCAATGTTTTTTTCCATTAGTGGCGACACAGTTTTGTTTTTCCTTGTGTGTATTTCACAGAATAAATCAAGCTTTTCATCAGGTCCTACCTAAAGTTTCTGCCTCCCATGCCAAGATTTCAACCATTTATTTTCCTCTTAAAAATACTCTGTTTCATTAGCTTCCAATTGAAATCAACTTTACATATTTTCAAATGTATCTACATGCTGTGAAAAACAAAACAGCACGCCCATATATAACAGTTTATGAGTCAGTGGTTTGAATTATTTAAAAAAAGTTCAAAAAATGTAAAGAGCAGTACATTTTGCACTTTTAGACCTCAGTTGTTTTAGATTACAGCTACATTAACACGTATTGTACAGATCTGACTGTTGTTGGACATTTAGACTATTTTGTTATGTTTTGACTGAGATAGTTTCAGTTAAATTAACCTATTTATTTTATAATGCAGCATGTACATCATTTGCATTAAGTTTGACCAAATCACGTTATTAGCTTCTTCAGCTAAACCAGATTTCTAGTAGTTGAAATTCTTTAAACTGTCTAGAGGACCTGAGGTTATTAGATTATTTTATGTCTTTGTATATATTTCTTCAGAGTACATGTATGCATGTTTATTTTTGAAATACAGTAGTCCCTAAATATTTTGCTGTTCAACTTTTGCAGACTCAGTTTTTCGTGGTTTCTAATGTAAGATTGTACACGACACACGATGGTCAACTTTAATATTACTCACGGGATTGGGACGGTACGGGATAAAAATTAACGGGAGCTGACGGGAGCGGGAACCAACCAATAGGGCAAAAAACAAAACAAAAAAATATATATACTTTGGACGGGCGCCGCTATTTTGTAGTTTTCTTTCAACAACCCTACACTGTAACGCAAGTTAAAAGAACTACACAGCCCAGAAGCCAACAGTGCATCCGGCCGCTGCTTTCTGCTGAAATTCAAAGAGCAGCAATGGAGGGAGCAAACACTAGAAGAGAAACCGATGTGGTAAAAATAGTTTTGCAGTGCAAAGTCAGAAGTAACGATCAATCTATTAAGCTCAAAGAACTGGCAAGAAAGTCGCAAATAATGCTGAACCTGAACTTATCCTTCAAGTTGTAGTACTTTCACTGGTGAATAACCATATACAATTTTGCAGTACTGTACAGTACATATACGTATGTTGTTAAAATTACTTAATTATACTTAGGTTTATATTGTTAAGAACATTAAAATAGTGTGGGAAGGGTTTATAAAGCCTTAAAATATTTATAAATACTAAAATAAATATAACGTCCCTACTTTGCAGATTTTCATCTATCGCGGAGGAGTCTGGAACATAACACCCGCGATAAGTGAGGGACTACTGTATAGTAGATGTAACTGTGTGTCAGTACTGATAAGAGTGGATGACTTAAATTGAAGTGATTTGAGACTGGATGTTGTATGTTGTGTTTTTAACGTCAAGGTTGACATTAAAAGTTTTGTGTGTGTTTGTAAAGATGATAAAAATGCTCCTCTTTCTATTTCCTGTGTTTTTACAAAGACTTGCAAATAAATAACTCCCATGCTTTATGTTCACAGGTGTGTCAGAGTGTGTAATGCTGTGTGTGCATATTTAACTCACAGGGTCTGTATCGCTCGCAGTGACGTGAAGGTGCCCTTGGCGAGTGTTTGGATCTTGTTATCGTACAGCGATAGCAGTGAGAGATTCTGCAGATCCTGGAAGGCGTTGGCACGAACGCAGTGAATCTTATTGGCATTCAGCAACCTAAAAGAAGTGAAAGAAAACAGGGAGGAAGAGGGAAAAGAGGGAGGGAGACAGTTCGTCAGAAGTTCTTTATGAATTATTTCATTAAAAAGCCAGAAAAGTTTATTTGAAAGTCAAGTCTGGTATTCAGTACGTCTGGAGAATATCAGCAAAGTGTACGGGTTTTCCACTTACAGCAATTGCAAGGAGTAGAGGCCGTCAAACACCCCCTTGGGCAAATCTGTGATTTTATTTCCATACAGCACGCTGAGAAATCACAACAGAGACTTTAGATACAGCAAACAACAATTCAGTGGCTTTTTGGGCTCTAGATCAGCTCTGGACCACTTACAGGGAGTTGAGAGAACGCAGACCCTGGAAGGCATCTGGAGCTATCTCTGAGATCTGGTTGTTGCTCAGGTCTCTGCATTGACGGAGGATAAAATATTAGACAATGACCTAGAGTTTTATGGGTTTTAAAGTCCTGCTGGATCCAACTTTATTTGCAACCCTGTTGTTACCCTCACGGGAGGACAGATCCTCCCACAGAGCTTGCAAGGAAGCAAATGTATTTTGTGGGCTGGAGGAAGACAAGTCCCAGATCTTGTTCACATTTTATGCTGCGTCTCTTCACGGGAGACTTGTAGCCAATCAAAACATTTACTTGCATTATTTGTGGCCTATCAACCCATCTTCCATTGTGGTGTGTGTGAGTGAGTAAGAATATGTCGCAGGGCTGAAATCCAGAGCCAAACAAGGGCAGAGTGCCTCGAAACATAGCTGATGTTAACAGGATCCGCAGGCCTCTTACCACAGGATAACCACTAAGCCTGTGTGCCCAGGAGTGCTGTGTGTCTGTACAAGTGAACGCAAACGTAAATGAAGAACAGTGGGACAGAAAGGGAAAAAGACAGATGGAGGAGGAGGTTTAATGGAGTATGCGGACTGAACTCCAGTCGACTGGATACCTTTGAAGGAAAATCATCATGTGGTGAAGAAGAGGGATATTTTCTCATTTGGGGGTAACGTTTAAATAAGTAGCCATTTGTCTTCTTGCAAGGACTGAGGTTTCCTGGAAATGAAAACGAAGACTGGAGGCCAACAAATGCGCTGGTGTGTGTCTGTAAATTCAGACGTTGGAGTGTTTGTGTATATGTCGGTGTGTGAGGGCTTACAGCATCCCTGTCTAAAGGGGATGGTTCATGCAGAGGTCATTTAAACTAAGTCAACGACATTATGATTGGCTGAGATTTATTGGGAAATGAGGACACAAGATCAGCTAAGGCAGGTCATCGCTACAAATAAACCAATGTCAACACATAAAACACTGATCTATATCTGAACATCTGCCGAGTTTGACCCAGGAGAGTGAGCTTATTCATCACAATGTACAGTGGCTGTCTACAAACTGCATACTGAAGGTGTTGGACACAAGATCGGTCCAACCCGCGAGTGTCCAGCTGAATCAACAGAGACACTGGGGGTCAATGGAGACCGACACAGTTGTTGCTAAACGTTGAATCGACATCTCAAACATCAGAAGCAGGTTAGGTTTGTTTAAAGGAACAGATGGATTAGACCTGTTTGGATTAAAACAGCTCGGCTTATGTTGTGTTAGGAAGAAAAAAAAAGTTTAAACATTGTTTGGAAGAATCTCTCACAAATAGGGAAGCCCCAGCAAATCTTAACTGATTTATTTATTTGTTAGTATTTCGAGTTCAACACTTTAATGTGTTACAAAAAATACAAAGGCCTGAAACATTATTAAATTAAAAATGCCTGTTTTTTATGTAATGATGCTTAAGGACTTACTGCAGAACAGAATGTTTCTGGAGGTCTTTCATCCCATCGGCAACAAGTTTTTACAACCAAACTGTGTGAATCATCTCCACATCTCATTTCCACGCAATAACAAATTTAACCTTTTTTTACTCCATAATCATTTTATTGTGTCTTATCTATAAACTTATTGCAACAGTTCTTTACTTTAAAATTCAAGTGCGATAATAAATTGACATCCATTTGTGTGTATACTGTATCTACACCTCCAGATGCAGGAAGAGGCCACCTGCATCACGAAGGACCCCACTCACCCAGCATACACACTTTTTGCCCTGCTCCCCTCAGGCAGAAAGTTGAGGAGCATTAAGTGCAGAACCACAAGGCTGAGGAACAGCTTCTACCCTGAGGCTGTTAGACTCATGAATCCCTAGTCAGGATCATCACTGTGAAAAAATCCTGTAATACCACTTAGTTGTTGATATGTGCTGCTGATCTCATGCTGCTGATTTATTTCATGTTGCTGTGCTCATTCGTTCTCGTCTGCTCACACAGTTCGTGCTGCCGTTGTTTGGTGCATTGTTTTGTACTATTAGTGCTTAGTGTATTCTTAGTTTAGTGTTTTTTTTTTAGTTCATATCTTAGATCTTACTACTGTTTTTCTTTACTATTTGTATTTTTGTTGGATGTACCTGGGACCCTGTGTACATAATTCCATTCCACCTCATGTACCACATGTGATGTGAATGACAATAAAGAACCTTGAATCCTTGAAAACCGAATCTCCTCTTCTTATGTAAAAGGAAAGAAACTGACAAAATTAGGTTCAGAGCATTTAAGTCTTTCATCCAAAATAAATCACTAAAATGTTGTGTTTTCCTAATTAAATACATTTTTAGCTACGCTCCTCCACAGTTTATAGACTTAGTGTGTGTCAACATATTTCCATTGATATTCCCCTTCAGCTTCAGCCAGTTTTTTTTTTTGCTCTTCATTCACCTGATTTCATCTCCACATTGTCCCTGGAGTTGAATAATAAAATGATGAAGAACGCTTTAGAAAAGGCAGAGAAACTCCCTGACCTTCCGGTTCCTCCAAGTCCCTGCTGCTGCTATGTAAGTCAGGGTCAGTGGTGTTGGAGGTTTGGACGACAGGAGTGAGCGAACAGCTGGCTCAGTGGGCAAGAAACCGCTCAGTCTCAACCACCAGCTCATCACTGTTCACTCCCAGAGAGAGAAAAAGAAACCCTCATTCCAGCCCTCTGTCTGTCCCCTCACCATCATCCCTGCTGGCAACATGCAGAATGGACACAATGCTAGCCAGGGGAATACCAGTGGGCAGAGTTGAAAAATGAGAACTGCTATTATGCACATGTAGATTGCTTGCTTTCCCTGCCACCTTAAGCCCGAGAACAAGACTGTGCTCCTAAAGCTCAGACAAAATAAACACTCTGCATGTTCGGAAGTGGTATGAGAAAACTGTCAATTATTGATTTTCTTTCCCCACCCAGTCTCTTCTCATCTGTACTTACATCCTACGAAGTTTCTTGTAGGGAGAGAAGGCTCCGGGAGGGACAGACTTAATCCCGTTCTGCTCCAGACGTCTGCGGAGGAGAAGAGAGGAGATGTGAAACCATTAGCTAACCAAACAATAGTGTTCTCCATGGCAACAAAGCTGAGTAAGCACCTCTGACCCTCCGTGATTGGCCTGATTATATTAACGGAGATCTATTTCACAGTTGTAATCGGTCAAGGCATGTCGGAGTCATAACATCCACAAAGGCAATAAACAGTCTTGAATGCTAAAGTGCTGTGGAAACGGGACTGGAGGGGGAAACGCGCCGCGTTGCGTTGTGTGAGGGTGTTAAGGCCCTCAACAAAAAGTCATATTTCTCCCTGATTTAACATTTACAGTTTCCAGCACTTAGGCACACATATGAGATCATGAAATCAATAATGATCTCACTGGTTCTTGTGAAAGTTGCTGGTATTCTCTGGGTGTCTGCAGAGTATCCACTGAAACCTTTGCAGCAGGGGTAAAATATGACTTCTCTGAGTTTACCTTTTCCTGTGAGCCGATGAAGTAAAGTTAACAACAGAAGAGTCTGACGGCGCTCACTATAAAACAACTGTCAAAGTACGAAATTATTGCAGACATCTAGAACATCTAGAACAGAGCAGCAACAGACTCTAAGCAGTGTCAGATGGTCCCAGGGAAACACACCCATTAGTGTGGGCATGCATGTGTGTTTCAGGGCCCAGCTCGGCCCCAGGACAAATCCCTTCTGTAGCTGGCAGAGGGCTGTTTATCTGCAGGTCAGTTCACAGCTTTTAAAACTGTCCTTATTGAGGCTTAGCAAGACCCAGAGGAAGCCAGCTGCTTGTTCTACTATTCTGCCTTCCTGCAGAGAGAACAGGCTGCAGACCAGAAGCCATGGGCCTGCACGAACTGTGGTCAGCTAGTGGCTACATCAGCATCTAAATATCATTAAGTTGCTATTTGTCACCACAGGAAAAATGGGAAATATTTTTAAATCGGCATAACTCCTTAGAGTTGGTAACAGATTTAGCCACCACCTTCTTAAGTATTTGACGTCTTGGCACATGAGCCTTTCCACAGGGTTTAATTAGTCACTTGGAGACGTTTCAGATATAACTAAATGCCTCTTTGGCCTCTTGCATTGCTTATTTATGTCTAATCATGGGGGGTAAATGTTTTGTTAGACACTAGCCACAGCCATTTAACGGTTTTCAGCTTCCAATTTTTTCAATCAAGAATCAGCCCCCATGAAAGGACCGGCCTGCAGTTATAGAGCAATATGGGAGTGCAATCGACATTCCTTGGATAACAGTGATTGTAGACCGCAGATTCCTGTGGTGGACATGCTCTCCCTGTCTGTTTTTGTCCGTGTGTGTTTGTGCATTTACAGTGAAGTGACAGCAGTGTGGTTCCTCTGCCCTCACCATGCGGCAGAGTGCTGGGCCAAGTGGCTTTAGCGCCTTCTCTCATCAACCAGTCTGTCTAACTGGTCCAAACCAGTTTGGCGTTCTGCACGCAGCTTGAACGTGTTTCAGTGTCAGCGTACGTACATGCCTACGTGCTGTGGTGCTCCTGGTGTGCCAACATGAAGTTACAGCACAAAACCTCAGAGCCAGACAGGCACACACATTAAGAACATTTACCGTATTTTCCGGCGAATAAGTCGCAGGTTTTTTGCATAGATTTTTCAGTCCTGCGACTTATATACGCCCCCCCCCCCATATTCATAATGCAACTTTTGACTAACGCTTTAAATTTCGAAGAACTGCAACAGCGAATCCTCCCGTGCCCGCTTGCTTCACTCAGCTGGTGCAGGTGGAGGAACGCTGGAGAGCTAGCAGCCCCAGCCGCGATGGATGAATATATGGATGGCGCCATGCCACCCAGGCGAAATGAAGCTGTTTTGGCCATTAAATAAATGCATAATGAACACAATGGGTCAGCAGTGACGCATAATAAACGCAACTTATATGCCGAAGCGACTTATACGTTTTTTTTCTCTTCGTGATGCTTTTTTAATGACTGATGCGACGTATAAGCCAGAAAATACAGTACATTGTTGCTCCTTACAGATCAATATGTGCAAGCGACTTCATCCTTGCAATCAACAAAGAAGCTTCTCTGTTCATTTGCTCAAGTAAAAAAAAGAAAGAAAAGAAAGAATCTGCCAGTCGCCTGCAGACGGAAAATCGATGGTTCCTGTCCAATTTGTCAGCCTGAACAATCGTGCATGTGTGTGCATCTGAGAGCTGATGTTTGTGTCAATCTAATCAATTTTTTCAACCTTTTCATCAGGACCCGAGCAGGGTTTTCATTAAGGGGGAAACACATTATGCCTTTGGGTATTCAAACGGTGCGTGCAGGAGTCAGAAACGATGGCAGAACCGTGGCGGTGCAGATAAAAGGCAGAGGGAAAGTTTTATGGCATGGCTCGTCATTACAGACGGAGACTACGGTGCATTCTATTCTGTTGTGGTTTTGTTTAGGTTAACTGGAGCTCCTCTCACAAGAAAGGAATAAAAAAAAAAAAACTGTTCAAAACCTTAGAACCATAAACACAGCACTCATTAGAGTAGAGGTAGAACAGAGGGGTTTTAATTCTCAGATTCATACATAATGAGAGCAGTGTGTGTGTGCGCCTAATTACCAAGGCATTAGGCCAGCTGTGATACGCAGCAACTTGCCACGCTGTAAGTGAAACTGACTTTATAATGAACTTCAAGCACAGATCAAACCTGCTGCATCAAGTTACGGAGCAGACCCCCCACTCCACTGCTTTCCATTTTACTTTTTTATTGTCAACGCACCTCCTTGAACTTGCCTGTAGTAACTTGGCAAGCCAGAGGAAGAAAAAAAAAGGAGACGGAGAGAAAATGCTGAGAAGTAAAATTTACAAAAAGGATGAAAAAGTGTCCTGGGAATTTACCCTGTAAGGTAGAGGTTCTGACGGGCGGGACAGAAGGAATTCATATCAGATTCTCTCCGGTCTTGTAAAAAAAAATGAATCGGAACACGATGGAGTGTGTGAGCAGGATGAGTTTTAGCACAAATTAGCTCTGAAGGGCAGGGGGGAATTTAAAAAGTCTACAGTGCAGAGATTATGTACAGTCTATAAAACATATCTCCCTGTTCTCCCATTACAGTCAAAGGTCACATCATAGATAAGACCGACATACCATCCCATTTGTAGAACTCTGAACCTAAAAAAGCTGCAATTTTTATTTCTTTGTATTCCATCAAAAAGGGAGAAACTGAGTTATTTACGTCTCAGAAATCCAAACGAAAACCTTTATGTAATTTCAAACAATTTTGCATTTCATGGGCTGTCAGTCTACTTGACAAGAACCTACTGAAGGATGCACATTAGGTTCAAATGCTGTACACCATCATTGATGAAAGTGAGTACATCGGTGTAGCAGAAATGGGTCAGGGTTGTTGGGGGAACATGGGATCAGTGACTCCAACACCGGCTGGGTATTTATAAACAGACTCCATGGGGAGCAGTAGACCTAGAAACTTGCTGTGTCCTCCTAGCTGCATGCATGCTGTTAGGAAAAACATCCGTCTATCTTCTCTTTTTCACACCCGGTATAAATCACTGTCGCTGTACCGTTTCTGGGAGATTTCTGCCAGCGCTTTGAAACCCCCTGATAAAGAGTAAAATGACTTATTTGTAAAGTCTTGCCACACATTCCTGGGAATCACAGTATAGCATGTGGGCCGTGAAGAGTTAATGCCCAGACAGATGTTGGAGGGCTGATAATCTGAAGGAGGGATGTTAGCAAAGCACTCGCATGTGGTTCACAGCATTCGGAGCTGATAAGAACATGGAACCTCAGTTTAAGATTTGTGGTCTTCAACATTTTTTTTTTTTACACGAGACTGATGTTCTGTGATGCATGTAAAAGATAAAAATCTAATAGGAATTAGCTTAATACCTCTCTGCTTTGTTAAAGTCTATAACTACACAAGTTAAGTAAATATAAACTGAATTAGAAAGTACAATAACCCTGTGTAAATCACTGACTTGTGGATTTCAAAAATACTTGGAAGTGCTAAATTTGCTGAAGATCCATCATGAACACTTTTCCTGTCATTCCTTGTGAATAAAACGAAAGGTTGTCATATTCAAATAGCAGCAAGCGTGCTCACATTTCAGCCATGCTGTCAGGTAAGTTGGCTGGGATGGCAGTCAGTCCTTTTCCTCTGCAGTCCACGATGTTGTTACTGCAGGTGCACATGGCGGGACAAGAGCCTCCACCGGTGCTGCATGGCTGCAAACTGGAGGACTCCTGATGTCCTGAAGATCAAGAAAAGAAAGAATCAGGTTTAAAAGGGAGAAGAGTTGATTAAAAAAACATAGATCAAGTGCTTTTTTTTTTGGTAATGAGTACTTCTCGTATCAAAGGCAGGAAAATAGTGCACCACGACGACCTCCACCAGGTTTTAGTGATCATCTTTTATTATGGACTAGGGCTGAACGATTTTGGAAATTATTCTAATTGCGATTTTATTTTTTACCTCAATATTGCAATTGTAATTTAATATACAATTATTTTTCAATGTCTTCTCATGTATTTTTCAACGAACACAAGCAATAAATCCGTTTCAGTTGCAAAAAACTCCACTTTTTTTTTTTTTTTAGCTCTGCTGCAACTCTGTTTCTGGATTATTTTTTTGTATAGCTCCAGGATAGCAACTTGGCTAAAATGTGTGCGCGAGGGCATTCTGTACTGCTTATCCATCGTGTCTGCCAAAGCTGTAAACCACTATATAAATCACTGTATTAATGGGCAGCATGCATTTCACTATGAACTCTGTTATTGCTCGATTTATTTCCACGTGCCGTTTCGAATTATGTTCATACGGTGTAATACCTTCGAACAGTTCGGTCAGTGATCCCTATCGGCTGGTACTTTGCTTACTTGAGTTGAAGCACTGGTTGTTGACATTCTAGTCATGCAACTATCATAAATGGCTTTGTGGTGTTTTTTTAAGTGTTGATAAAGATTTGTGGCGTTACCTCGAAAGGTACTAACAGCAGCAAGGCAGGTTCTGCACAATACATGTCGTTGCGCAGCGTCTTCTTTTTTATAGTCAAAATAATTCCAAACAACGGACGTGCTGCCCCTCTTTGGTACCAAACTTTCAGATGTGCCAGGTTCTGTCAAGCCGGACACCATTGTGTAACCGGTTAAAGCTCAGTGCTGACTTCGCCCACTCCCTGCTTTGCTCCGCTCACTCGCAAGTCACATAACCAGATCATGTGGTCAGTCAAATCGCAGCCTTTGCGATTAGAAAATCTCGTTTTATCATATCGTGATATTATTGCAAATGCAATTAATTGTTCTGCCCCATGGACTTTATTTTCTCACTTGACAAAAATGCATGCATCAAATCTCCAAAAAGATCTACTTTGGGTTATTCAGTTTACTGAACATTTTCCCTAAAATACGGTTTCTAGTGTGCAGACAGCTCCAGGTTAGGCTGAGACTCTTTGGTTGCTTTCTAAACAATTTTGTCAAGGAACTTAATTGTTTGCAGACCTGTATGTTACTTCTTAAAAAAAAAAAAAGAAGTCAAGGCGCATGCTGTCTTTACAATTGTTACAACATGGATTTCAGTTTTTTGATATATAATTAGCATCATCACAGCGTCTTAGTGATTCATTGACAATGAAGCATCTTAAGTAATGAGAAGGAAATGCTGAAACATTTTTCAATGTCCACTGAAATCTGTGTTCTGTTCTTAGAATATCATTTAGGATTTTTTTTTTTTTTTTTTACAGTCGCTTTCTCCTTTTATTGCAAAGAAGAAGGATTGCGTTGTAAAACTACGATTTGCTGGTTAATCATGAGAAACCTGAAAAAAAATATATGGACGACTTGTTTCTTTGTATTTAGTTTCAAAACATAGTTTTAACAATAAAAGTAGTGCCAGTACTGTGTCTAATGGTCATTTCATGCCTATGTTGTTTGTCTTTCTTTTCTTATATACAGTATATATAGTGCAGCTTTTTTCCTCATTGTTCACTAGTTTCTGAGCAACTTTTTAATAAATATTGTGATCATAAAAACTAATGCCTTTGCAGTTCCTTAAAAATATTTAAGCTCAGAGTTAACAGTTAAGGTGTGACAACAGTTATAATAAAAGTAGTTTGAGCTCTGATGGATTTCTTGGATAAATGAGAGAACGTGATGATTTACAGAATTACAAGATGGACAAAATGTCTTGCTTTCATCTTTATTTCAGGTTTTCTCCACTGTTGGTTATGTCTCTAACTAGTGTTTTATAAGCTAAATTGCAAATTAACACACATTTCTAAGAATGTTTTAATACTGAGAACACAAATGAAACATCCTACTTAGCTTCTGTGTAAAGCTCCTTGCAAGTAAAGAAACTAGGTTGTATATCAAAGAAATGTCAAAGTACATGGAGAGCGGAGGAAAGACATGAATAACACTGAGTGACAAGTGAAAGCCTTACAATAAACTCCACTGATCTTTCCTGAAGTTTTCCTCCTGAGTCTGCGATCTCCAGGTGGAATTGATGCCATTCTGCACATTCAGCTTTTCAACTCCCCACCTCTCCCCATTTTCCAAAACTCTTCAACTTTTTTTTTTTTCCTTCTCCATTTGCATACTGAGCACACGGCTCATCATGCTGTCTCTAGGTACCTGTTCAAATAGCTGTAGCTCTCTTGTCAGCGTTGCGGTGAAGAACGGCGGCACGGCGGCACTGCAAGAGCAGCGATTTCTGACGCGAGCGCACCAGATGTGTGTGCGCGTGTGGAAAAGTCTAACCCAGTTAAAATGAATAAAACAGACTTTTAAATGGCCTCATTTACACAGCCTTACTAATCTGAGTTTCAAACCATGAATATTTAATTACCTTCCTGTCTATCGCTCAGCTTGTGTTGGAAAATGTTGGCAAGAGGAAACTGGAAGTGGGGAGGAGAGGGATTTAGGGAGAGGAGGATCGAGTGAGTGATGGTGAAAATCGGTGACAGCGGTTCAAACTCCACTGCCCAAACACACATAGATTACCACAACGTTTATTACTCTAACTCTTAGACCGTTCAGTTGATAAACAATGTTTAAGGTCAGCCGTCATCAATTATCTGACTTTCTTTTTTGATGGATTAGGAACTGAGATAGTAAATAAAATGAGTCCAAACTGGCACAACAGCCCATGGGATCCGAGGTTGTGTGATCTGCAATGGCAGAGAGTTGACAGATTTGGGATCAGGGTATCGGGCAGAGAAAAACTCCCTTCTGATACAACATGGCACATTTGACAGGCCTGGGATCAGGGAGAGTGCAGTGCACAGCTGGAGAGGCCTTAACAATGACAGCTCCCTGACAGGTATACCTGAGGAGAGGCTGTTTGATGTTCACTCCACCTTTATTTTCCCCTGTGCCCTGTTATCTCCTTCCTAGCCATTATCTCCACCACTTTATTCCTGTCACATTTTAACTTAAATTTTTTTTTCCACATTTCTTTCACTTCAGTTTGCTCTATTTCACTCCATTTAGCCTCCTTTTACTTTCCACTTTTCTATCATTGTAATTTATGTCCACTTGCTAACAAGTCCATACATTAAACCTCACTTCATTTTATGTTTCTCATCATTTCGAAATAATAGCACTTGTATCTCGCCATCCGTCTCGCCTCACTTTTTTTATGAAGCCATTTCCTTCACATTTTCCTGAAGGAGTATTTTTTTTTATTCAACTCTAAAGTGATTTATTACCAACCGCTGATTTCAAATATATATATATTTTTAATTTTCTATCCCCTCAAACCTGTAGCTCAGCAGAGAAGTCATTCATTTTCTGCCATGTACTCTAATTGGCACGAGCAGCTTCTGACGTTTGGTTACTTTAAGAGCCAGTGGAAGCAAAAAGCTCATATGATTAAACGTTAGGCAGCAACAATAATGACTAACGTGAATAATTATGATTTAAAGTGACAGGACTGTGAAGAATTAGGATGTAACTTCTTTGACAGAGGTATAAAAAGCTCTTTTTTTTGTTTCACTGTTTTAGCCAGCTTTTAAACCCTAAAAAAATAAAATTTTGATGCCTGAATACCCCCCCCCCCCCCCCCCCCCCCCCCCCCGCGGGGGTTTTTTTTTTTAATTTTTTTTTTTTGTGGGTTTTCTCCAGATATTCCAGCTCTCCCTCACAGGACATAAAATATGTTAGGTCCACTAGTCAATTGTCCCTAGGTGTGAGTGAAGGTATGTGTGTCCCTGTGATGGACTTGTGACCTGTCCAGGGTGTCCCCCGCCTCTCACACAATGACTGCCAGAGAAACTGGGCTCTACTTCGACCCACAAAATAAAAAGCAGGACAAGAAAATGGATCGATGGATGGAAACTACAAAAGTCTCGCTGGTTATGGAATGCAAATGTGCTTTAAAGAACAGTGAAGGGTAAAAATGTATGCCTGGGAATTTTTTTTAGTTTTTTAATTCTCAAAGTAAACTATTATGAAATCCATTACTGGCAAATAAATACATAAAATCCAGCTAAGTACAGGAAAATAAAGTATGTCATACTGCTGAGACTGAGGAAGGATTTCATCACTTCATCCTGTTCTTACTCTCATCTCATTCAACATCAACTCTGCTTCATCCTCTTCCTCTTTTCTAATACATCCCCACCCTGCTCCAAATCCCCCACAGGTGGCCTCACCTGGTGACGTTTCAAACTGAACACGAGTACAAACAATTACTGTTTGTACTAGGGATGCACTATTTCGGATTTTTGGCTGATATCCAATATGTTAAAACTTATTTGGCTGACAACTGATACCAATACTGATATTTTTTCCCCTAGACCTACTTACAGAGACTACATAGCTTTTTCTGTTGTGGGACTAAAATACTACATAATTCTGCATGTTTTTTGTCAAATTGGTCTGCTACCAAATGCAGATGCCAAAAAAGGGGGCTGAAAATGATGTAACACTTCAACTTGGATTATGTTTAATGTCAAATTTATTCATGACATTTACTCTCTCTAACACAAAGACAACACTCGAACTGTGCAAATTTGTCAATGTTCACAAATCTAAACTCAGCGGCGTGCGTGAAGTCACAACGTTGTGCTGGCGCTGCAGGGATTCGTCTCACTGGGTTGTCATACAAAAACAGAACCATATTAGTGAGTTATTTTGATGGAATGGCCAATATCCGATATTTAACTTTATCGCTAATATCGGCTGATACCGATATCATTCCGATAATATCGTGCATCCCTAGTTTGTACCAATGGTCAAAACATAAAAATATATATATTTGTATGTGTTTGCCAAAGAGTCAGGCTCTAATGAGCCAATCACTGATAATTCAACTTCTGTTCACTCATTATCTAAAGTACAAATAAATAAATAAAGTGTGTGTTTGGCTGTGTATTTAGTTGCATGAATGTGTGACGGTACACGTAGAAACAGATGTGAAGAAATTGCAGCAGCAAGAGTTGTTTTGTTTGTTTGTTTTTTGCTGTTTGTGCTGCCCAGGAAGATTAGAAAGATTGTTCATGCTCACTGAAACTTAGTGATTCTACATCACATTTTCTTCAACAATGGTAAAATGATAAAAGTCATGAAGTCATTCACCTAAATCAGCCTCATATGGCTAGAAACAAAGGCAAACATGTTTTAAATGAAGATGTATTTAGGAGGAACCGCAGCTGTTCATAAGACAAAACCATAACTTTTTGTTTCGCTATAAACCAAAATCTCTCCGCTCCAACTTTTTTATCTGGAATGGCTACGCTCCCACGCTTTCAGTCTCCATCCCTGGACGATGAATAGTTAATGATCTGTGCCGTCACGCTGTATGACTGTGTAAAAATCACAATCCGTGGAGGGAGAAAGAGAAACACCGAGATCCGCAAACACACCCAAACGTAGACACAAACACCCCTCGCAGCTGGTGTTACGAGTGGGATGGCCTTGTGTGGAGTGGAGGTTCTCATGCTGTTTTTCCATTGTTCAGATACGATAACCCAAACACACACACCATGACACTCCCACGTGCACATGTCCTACTCTACTGCAAGAGAGAAGCGTTGTCTTAAAGCCACATAAATCATATAAGGATTATTGTAATAATCCTTGTGGATGGAAATAAACAATGACCATGAAGCAGAGGGCTTCTGCGGAGTCTGAGGGCAGTCTGGGCTCCAGCTGTGTGGGCATTTGCCAAACATCACTGCCAGCTCAGTGAGAAACAAAAGCAACGATCAAGAAGGAGCCATGAGGTCGACCTGGAACAGCTGTTTTCAGGTGGTCGCCAGGTGAACACACACACTGATAAAACACACCGTGAGGAGAAGTGAACAACTTTAGACTGACTTTTTATAAATAATGAGCAGCTTGAAGAACCAATGTGCCATAAGAGATGCTGTGAAACAAAATTGTTGCAGCGACGAATTAGCAGGAAACATTATGAAAATCAAAGCCTAAAAGGTAACTGAGTACAGTTCTTACCTGAGCAGCTGAATTCATGTTTCTGGACCTCTGCCACATTGAGTCCTCTGAGCTCGGGAGGGCCGGTGCATTGGGTGAATAGACCGATTGTAGGCCTCTGTCTGAGCCACTGAGCCAGCCAAGCCAGGTGACAGTCACAGTTCAAGTTGTTGGAGTGGAGACGGCTGGAAAGTGAGAAGAAAAAAAAAAAGTGATTTATTGAAGAGCTTCAATTTCGCAATCACCAGCAGAAGATGAAAATAGCATAAAGAAGTGTTTGTCCTTTCCCACAAGTCATCATGTCCAATCCCTGTGGCAAAACACACCAAATGACATGCTACATGGACAATTGTAAAAGGCACATTCTAAATATGAACACATTTCTAAATCCGGTCCTCCAAACACAGCATTCCTGCAGAGCTCTGCCTGTCCAGAATAGCTCCTGCTGTTGTGTGGTGGACGTCTGGTGTATGCTAACTTGCAAACCCATGTGCACAGACACGTAGTGTTCACACAAAGAGAAAAGCTCTATAATATAACCCCACAGGGAGTGAAAAAGCCTAAAATGTCACCACACGGCTAGCAGAGTCACAACTCAAAGCTTTAGTGAGCATTACTGTTTTAATTTGTGCATAATTTCAGTTTTAGCAGCCACAATACACATTGAGATTTTGGAGTTATTTGCATAAATATGGACTCTTTTTTTGTTTTTCCATTGCTCACACAATACTTCCTGGTGCTGCTAAAGACACTGCTGTTGTCTGGTGATGATTCTGGCTGCCACACAGGAAGCGCTTTGAATAAGAGAAGGCGTCAGCTCCCATTAAAACTAAATGTATCTTTTTTTAAAATGTGTCTGAATGTAAATAAATAGATTTTAGATTATTTATTTTAAATGGTTCCACGTTGAGAATAGTTTTCAGATACTATGACTTACAAAGTCCGGAGTTTGGGCATGTGGTTGAAGCTGGAGACGGGGATGCTGCTGATGTTGTTGTTGTTCAGCGTTCTGTGGAAAGACAAAAGACAAAGCGTCACATTGTCAGTGCAGTTGTTTAGGCCAGCCTTCTCTGCTCCACGTCTTTAAATCCATCTCTTTGATTTTGTCTCTCGTTGTGGCCCACTGGGAATACACCACCTCGTTTCACGCAGATGGGGAGCCCTCGCACCTCCCACGCACACGTACAGGCCATGCATGCAAATATGCACATGAGCATGATCACAAGCTCCTTGCACTAAAACACACACACGTGAGCGCGCTTTCATCGAACCCGGGGCATCAGCTGTGGAAGGAAGAATCGGGTCAATTCAATCAGCCTAATAACCTCTCACCATTTTTCAACCTGCTCCTCCTGTCAACGCAGGCTGTCGTCCTCCCCCTACACTCATCTAGACAACCCCCTCTGCCCTTTTACGACATTATCAGAACGCTATCACCACATTAATTAATCCATGCCATGAAAGCAGCTCTCATGTATTTCTTTCTTTCACCACCTCCTAAATCCTACACAGCGGTCTTTCAACATCAAAATAACAAGGCTGTCAAAGCGCCTTTACCCCCCCCCCCCCCCCCTACCTTTCACTATTGTTTCAGATGGAGGCCTCCAACAGAGGCTTGTAATTATATCTTTTTGATAAGATATGATTAACAACGGCATATCATGGTCTCCAGAACGGAAAGCTAAGCTCTGATTTTTGAGCGAGATTATAGGAAGAGCCTCCTTATCAGATGGCGTGCCAAGGGCTGGATGAAGGTGGAGTAGAGGGTGGGGTGAGTGTTAATGGGATGGAGTGGAACCCTGCTGTCAGCTGTGACTTAATGGAGCTTGGTCTTCATGCTGCTAGCTACCCTCATGAGCCCCATAGGGGGTAGTTATGAATGTTACGCAAGCTCTGTGCCACAGTTATTACCAAACCACAACAATGTCTTAATTTAACTAAAAGCCTTAATGGAATAAAACCGCTTTGAAGTAGCTTCAGTTCACATACTTACAGGACTTCTAGGCCTCTTAAAGCTCTGAAGGCTCCATCCTCGATGCAGCTGATGTGGTTTTTATCCAGCTGGCTGCGGATCACACAAAGACAATTGTTCAGTCCCTGCAGAGCAGTTGTGATCATTGATACAGTAAGCTGTACACTAATGAGCTATAGTTAATCAATACAGGTTTAGTCTTCTCAGCTCATGTAATCCCAAGAGCAGCAAAAAAAAAAAGGACTTTAGTTGTTTTCCATCGGCATGGATAGGAGTCATAAATCTGGTTGAGCATGTTAGCATCGTTGAAAATGTAAATCACGCTCTGTACAAGCTGTCTTTGGGGAGCAAAGCACTTAGTTTACTCAGTGAATAGCTCCACTAGACATTCTTACACACAGACATGCGCAAAAATGTTTGATTCTCACCAACGATCATTTATACGTCATGTTGTTTATTAGATAAGATTAGATAAGAGGAAATGTTAAAACTGTACTGATTGAAAGTATATAATGTTCAGTTAAGATAGTATCATTGCTTCTAGATGATTTACAGAAATGACTCGTCGACTCACCACCACTAAAGCAACAACATAACATATAATGCATGCAGAATGATCTACCAGTTAGACATAAAATACATCAGCAAACTCTTTGATAATTGATCACTTGTAGATTTTTTTTGTTGTTGCTTTTGTCTTAGTTGTGAATAATTCCTGAAATCTGATGTTAAACGTAACCAAATGAATGTACAGTTGGGTACTCACAGGTTTTTGATGTCTGTGGCTCCCCTGAACGCTTTCCTGGGGATGGACTGGATAAAGTTCTCGCTCAGATCTCTGCGGAGACAGAAGAAGAAGGCAGAAGTTACGACGCGCTCTGTGGTTTGACAAAGCGTGTGTTCAAAACAAATTTGAAGGGATGGTATTTATTTAAACAATTTCCTCTGTTAAGTTTCCAGAGAGGTGTTTAAAGCAGGTTGTTAATAACTGAATTTACACTAAAAACTGTCACTGTCTCTTTTCTCATACTACTTGCACTAGAACTGAAAGGTAAGTGCATACTTGTACATAATTTTTACTTCCACAGTGTGTGTTAGCACCCTGAGTTTGGGTCCCTGCTTGGAAATTTACACCCATGATGTTCACTATGAATCATAGCGTAAAACTCTCTGCTCAGACTAAACAAACAGGTAACGGGGCATTCATCTATGAAGGCTCCTCTGTGACACAGCCAGATAAATTTATCAAGGTCCGAGACCACAACACACACACAAACGTTTTCATATTAGTTAGTGTGTATGTAGTGTTTAACAATACATAAGAATTAAGCATTTGACAAGAGCAGAGAGGAGACAGAGAGATTAAGTGACAGACGGGAAGCGATGGATTTAATTAGTAGAGTCTTGAGTTTGTCACACACACAGAGATTAGGGCACTGCCTAAAAGACGTGCACAACTTGCACAGCATTAAACACAGCACCCACGTAAATTCTAGAATCCATTAAACTACACAAAACCACCAGCATGATGAACTCTGATAAATGTTATTTAATGGTCGTGTGCACTGTAAGAGGCGCTCTCGATGCTCACAACTATTCACACTAGATTTTCTACATTCCTTGAGTCCAACGTTGTTTTAATGGGGTGAAAACTGGCTGAGAGAAACATTTTGAAACAAAGAAGTTGGGAAATGTCTCTAATAAGTAGAAGTTTGTGTATTTATGGTACAGCGCAAGTTAAAAAAAGACATTTTTACCACAACTGTAATTGGAATGTGGGATGTTGCAGTTATGCTGTATGTTGAAAGTCCGTTTGGTTTTGATCCACGTTTACAGTCCAACGACAAAAAAAGTGGAGCGCATTAGTATAGCAACGCGTCTTTTATTGGAATCAAATCAAAAATCTGCCTTAAATTGTATAAACATGCATGACTGCTATAACAGTTGTGCACATTAGTCCTCCGCATTACTGACTTGGGTTTAAAGAGAACATAAACATTCCCACTAGTAGAATATTTCAAAGTTATCATTTAAAATAAAAGTGTTCTTTTTTTTCCAACAATCTTTTTTTTTTCTAGAAATATGATCATTTCCCAAACATCAAACTAGTTCATGTTTTCTTACAGGCGGGCGTAGGATTCAAAACAGTTCTGGCCTCGTTTGTTGTTCTTTTGCCGAAACAGTTTCTAAAGTTGAAAGCGGAGTCAATCTGAACCACCAGGCTTTAATGATGGTGCCTAATGATGTGGCTCCAAGTTAAAGGAAGATGTTTGGTCTTTCTACCCCTGAAATCTAACGACTAACCGGCCTTCTCACCTTCTTCAGTTTCGCCCAATATATCAGTATCAAGATGCCAAATGTCTGCAGTGGAAACACGTTTTTAATGACATCTCAATCTCCACCCAGACATTAAGGAGACTTTCTTTTTACCATTTGCTTGTGGTCATTTGTGTGTTCCAAAGACATTTTAACAACAACAACAAAAAAAAAAACAGATCCTGCTCGACTGTCAAAGAAAGAACATGAAGAAAAAGGCTGAGAGAAAAGAAGAAACAAGGACGAGAGGCTCAGACGACATGAATACAATGTTATGTGTGCAAGTAGTAAAATGAAAGTGGAATCCTCACTCTAAAACCACGATAATCCCATTAGTACGCTCTAATGGGATTGGCTAGAGTGATCTACACACTCCCATTTATGGTGCTGTGGCCATTTATGGATTTGGTCCCCAGGTCGCAGGAGATCACTTTTAAAATCTAAATCGGTCTGGGACAATACTTCCTCAGATAAAAAAGAAATTACAGTCATTAATACCCTAACTGTTGATTGATGTGCCTATCTCTCATTGACTTATGTTGTCTGCATCTGCTGTCTTGTTTCTATCAAATCTAACAGGCAAAATTGCAGTGGTTCTGGTCTGGATTCCACAGTCTGTTCTGTCTTTAAAGCATTTATTGATGGGTTCGACTCCAACGGGGGAGCCAGAGCAAAATTAAATTTAGCAGTGCAACATTTCTGCATTTACACGTTCTCAAAATGGCAAAAAGAACATTTCTGTGGGAGACCATCACACTGTATTTTACATAGTCTGTGGTTGCCCCTTACTGTTATTTTCTAAGCTCAAACCCAACTGTTTTGGCTTCAACATATTTGACAATGCGAATTAGTTAGAAAGCTGATTTTGAGAGAAGCCCTGATCCCTGCAAAAACAGACACGTTTATATGAGAACGCTCACCACAAATAGGCACACTGGCCACTATGGCCTCAAAAACTAAATTCTGACTGTAAATCTAATGTTCCAGTCCTTCAGCAAATACCACAATAATGCATCACTTGTGCAGAAACCCCAGGATGGTGAGTTCGAGAGCACTGAATGGTGAGTAATATCAGAAAATATGTTTCTTCCTAAAAATCACCCTGCTGTTGAGTATCTGGACAGTGTGTGCTCATTGCTTCAGACTGAGCTAACCTTAGGGCATTCGGATTGTGAAATACAACAGGACCAGACAAAGTTTAGCATCACAGGCAGGGGCAGAGGTCATCACCTCCAGATGTTACTCCTTCTGCACAGTTCTACTCAGAGTTTAAATGCTCACAGAAATTATCAGTACCTCCCTATTTCCAAATTCTCTCGCTAATAAACTGAGTCCCAACCCAGGCCCCTAAACGTCTCATGCACCTCTGTAATGGTGTCCTGCAGCTAGCACGCCCTCAAGACTTTTATGATTAAGGTATGTGAGCCATCACCCAAGTGAATAACATGAGTGAGGCCATGTCGCTGTTAATACCAACAAGAGCTGGTTTGGATTTACCTTCTTGCACCACAAATGTTGCAAGAGAGCAATTTATTAATGTAGCCTGGCTTTTCTGTTCACAGTTCATTCCCATTGTTGTCCTAATGATGAGGAAAAAACATGTTTTCAGGTGTGTCCTCTCTGTATGAACTACAACTTGGGCTTTTCCCTACTCTCACTCATAGAAAACTAAACAATGTTATTATTTAATCAGTGTAACGTGGTTAAGCTACTGTTTACAAGAATGCCTACATTAGCAGGAACAATTAGCAATGTTATCAGCCATAGCTCAAGGCGCCTGCTCTGCAGATTAGCTGAAGGTAGTCTGGTTCCTGTCTGATTCCCATCATTAACCACTGATCTTTATCAGACTTCTTAGCTAAAATACTTCAAACAAATGTTTGACAAATGCCAACTTTGGTGGCAGTATGATATCCTGTTCACACGAGCCAAAAAAGGTACGGTAGTTTAAAAGCATTAGCATGGCATTTTGTGCACATTGTCTAATTAGTTTTAGTTTTTGTGGATGATGCACAAACCTGCATTTTTAGCGACTTGCATTATGTTTCTTTGTCCTTCTCTTTTTCTTTGTCGTTCTTCTTGTGACTAGCTCGTATTAGTGATGTAGATCGGTACTTTTCCTCACTGTTTTGAAGGTGAACTGAGGCTGATTTGCATTGAGCTCAAGGAGAACTTCGATTTGATGAGAAAATAGCCTGAAATGTCTGACAGTGTTGGATAAAAATCTTGTAAACGTCAGTGGCACCCCATTCACGGTCACAGAGAAATGGCTTCTGCTGCTTACACAGCATTTCACCCTTATTTCATCACTCTGTTGCAGACGCACTTGTACAAAATCTAGATAGAGTAAAGCAAAAACAACATTTAATCATGCTTTAAGGCTCAGAATGAATGTGTGAATGAAGCTTGCAGTGCTCAGCACACTTAGAAAAGTACTACAAAATGCAATCCATTTACAACATAAGTGCGCTTATTTCAGTGCATCTAAGGGAGTTTGTTTTCTTGATTTCTTGAATTGATTGCACGATAAGAAAATGTTTATTTCAGCCAAATGCCCTTTACTCCTCTAAATTTTATTCTCCCATTTAAAGAGGGAGAAAAGATAGAAATACAGAGGTGGAACATGTCTGATTACTTACTCATTAGGAGAGGTAATGAGGTGTATGAGAGCTGTTAAAAGAATGGCAGTGTGCTGCTACTAAATGCTAACTATGTTCTTCCTCCATGCACAGTAAAAGCTCACAAGCAGTCACACACATAAACAGCCACATTACCAAAGTGTGTGCCTTTGGAACGAGAACTGGAAATGATCCAACAAATGACTATTGAGAACAAAATAACAACACACCCACATAAACAAACCAAACAGGCACAACTTAATTTATAAGTCTGTGTTGAAGTAAAACATCGTAAAAAGTCTGCTGTGAAACTGATCATCAGATGCTAAAACAAATAATTAAAGAATATATGGAACAGTCATGAGCAAATTGTTGTAACGGAAAGAATATTTTAATATTCATTTTGGCAAACAGAAAACAGCGTAAAAAATTGCTCATGACATGAAGGGGATTGAATAAAATAGATGTGGAAAAATTGTAAAACAGATTAAGATTTAATCTTGGTCATTTTTGCCATCAGATCATTGAAATTGTGATTAAAGTTAAGAGGAAATGAGAAATTATGGATTTCTTTGTACTTGAGCACAGCTAAAATAGTCCCAGCGTCTTCCTGTCTGGAACACCACATTTGCTCTAACTGGTCAACTCCAATGTTCACAAACTGTCAATCATTCAGTCAACTCTTCTCAGTTGTACTTTTTTACTTTAGTAATGAAAAACACCCCAGAGTACAAATGGAGTCATGAAACATATTGCAGGGCCACCTGCATCATGAAGGACCCCACTCACCCAGCACACACACTTTTTCCCCCTCACCCATCAGGAAGGAGGTTAAGGAGCATTAAGTGTAGAACCACTAGACTGAGGAACAGCTTCTACCCTGAGGCGGTTAGACTCATGAATC